AGGGTTCGCTCACTTCCTGCATGGTTTTCCCTGTCTCCATCTTCCTTTCCTCCCGTGCATTTTCATTCTGATTCAAAGGTAATTTTGGAAGTGAAGAGCAGTGGACCCTCCGTGCTGAGGAGAAGGAAACCATGCCACACCCCAGAAAGAGAACGGAAATGGATTCCTGCCCTTTTTGTGTGGGCCGAATTATCGGCCGTTTCTTCACTAGAGTTTTGGGGCATCTTTCTGCCCACCACAAAAGGACAATGGCTGAAAGATGTTAGAAAAAGTCAGAGAGGAGATGGTAAATAAAGCCTCTCTGGGGGCCGAAGGGCAATTATTTAGGTTTATCAAAGAAGAAGCCCCCAATCCTGAATTCTGTTCCCCCTCTTCACCAGCCGGGTGCAGAGCTGCCCTCCCATGTTGCAGCCATGTGCTTGCCGCAACATTAAGCTGCTTTGTAACTCAAACATCTTGGTTTTTTTTTTTTTTTAAATTATAACAAGTTTTTATTAGTTTTCCAGTTTTACATTTAAGTATTTAGAAAGCAGCGTGGTGATTGGGTAGTCAGCTCAATTAAAACATTTATCAATATATTTATGCTTATACATATCCATGTCCTGTGTTTAAATTTTACCTAATTTTTAATTACAGTATTCCAATTTAACCTTTAATATCCATAGTATTTAGATTTCGGGTAACCCAAATTTCTTTTATTTCACTACATTAAAATTATAGTATCTAAAATACACCTATTACTTACTTAAATGTATTCTTATTTTATTTCATAGACATTTTCTATTTCTCATCCTAGTACATCACCACTTACTAACGGAATATCGTTTATTGTCTTAAATCCATCGTCTATGTTATCTGGGCTAAACAATAATTCAAAGCTAATAGTTAATTTTCATTCCTCTTATAAATCTAAATCCTCAATATTAGGCCAATTAATCCCTTATTTTTTATTATTTTCCAACAATAGTTAAATCTAGTAATCATATTTCCCTTCATCTCAAAATCTCCCTTTAGCCCATTAGTTGAGACTTTAGGATCCTCTCTAATAAATCAAAAGATCCCATTTTTAAAATCTAATTCTAGCTTTCTTTTTATGCCAACCAGGCTTCCATACCAATGCCTTTAGATCATCAGATAGATCTCCCTTCATTCTTGTGCATGTTAGTTGAATCAAAGGAGAGCATCTAGTGATCAATTTTCCAGAGGAATTGGCCCATTTATGGTTGTTAAGTTGTCACCCTGGTGGCCCAGATCCCCATATTTGCTCTAGTATATTTGTCTTCAATTCCATCTGGTCTTCTTCTTCCTCAGGTTTCTTCTGGTGTAAGTAGAAAGTCATATCCGATTTTATGGTTCTTGTTTGGTTGTCTAGGTTTTCAGTAGGCTGTACTTGTTGATCTTTAGCACCCTCCATCTTGGTATTACTTTCTTCCGCTTCTGTTGTTTTTTGGGTTGTAGATTCTTTAGTTGCAATCAGGGTTTGGTTGTCTAGATTTTCAGTACATTGTACTTGTTCTTCTTTAAAGTCCTCTATCTTGGTATTAATTTCTTCCGCTTCTGTTGTTTTTTGGATTGTAAGTTCTTTGGTTACAATCAGGCTTTCACTTTATAGGTTTAACCTGGCACCTTTGTCTTTCAGTCTAGCTTTAATTATCTCAGTAGCTTCAAGAATTTTTTCAAGTATAAGTTTGTAATTAGCTGAAATTTGTTGCTGGTCCTCCTCCATTTCTGATATGGTTATAAATGGTCTTTTAGGGAAGGCTATTTATTAAATGAGAGTCAATGAGTATTCACCTCCACAGTCCTAAAAAGCAATTTCACTGCCCAGCTCTTCTCTCAGCTTTTAATTTCTTTTAGATAATACCAAGGACAGATCTGGGCTACGAGCAGGTCTTTTTGTCAAGAATATTCACTTGCTGTACCAAGGTTTGCCACAAGATGTCCTCAATAGCATTTAAAATCTTTTTCAAATCCCAAACTAGGTTTTTGTCCAATTTAAGTTCTTTTTGATCTTTTTTACAAGTAGATAAAGTAGCAAATCCCCATGAAAGTAGGAACTTTTGGGTCCCTGAATATCAAATAGATGCAAATCCAAGTATTTAGTTGTTCTTTTCAAGGCTTTATGTCCCAAAGGTAGACAAACGCCGCCATTTTAGAGGGTGGGAGGAAAACGTTCCCTTCCCTCTTTCCTCACAGGGGGGAGCAATTAAGAATCTTTTTACAGGAAGATACTTGGGGTACAAAGAAGGTAAGATCTCGCCCAATTCCTCCCCGGTGCTTTCAAAGTGCTTGTTAGTAATTTTGGCCTTGGCTGGTAGCAGCTTAGTGATGGGCCATGTTAATGGACGATCTTTTCCCTGTCAGTTCAAAGAGTTGCCTGGGATCAAATGGGAGGGCCACCACCCTTCCACGATCGCTCGGGAGTTCATGCTCGTGGCCCCTCCAGGGCGACTTCCAATCCTTTTCAAGGTCCCCCGGCGGGAGAAAACCGGATGGCGAAGCGATCGGCCCGCACGTCCGCCAGCGCTGAAATCACAAACTGGAAGCCTCAAACATCTTGTTAATGATGGGAACTTAGCATGCAAAACGAACCCTGGAGACACTGGGGACAGCCAGGAATGGACCAATTAAAACCCCACTCCCCCAATATTAGGTCTCTAACAATACCCAGGGTGCAATACTCCTTTGCTAGTGCCCAGCTTCACCCCCATCAAACAGGTGGGGCATCCCGTAGCCTGCCAAGTGGGTGAGGGTTTCTAAAAAGCAAAAGGCAGGGTTGAGAGCAGGTTTTTTGGGGTCTTTTTTACCCACCATAACCAAATAGAAAGTTTTGCCAGATAGGCTGCTATATTAGGCAAAATAATATATTTTTTTAAAAAAAAAGATTTTTCACATCTGACTTTGTTTAGGGAGCCGGGCAGATCATCCACTTTTCTTATCTTCCAAAAATGAGAAAAAAAGGAGTTGCAACTCTCTCCCACATAGCTAGATGGCATCAAGGAAAACCTCTTGTTGCCCCTAGGAGTTCATCTAGAGCAGGGGTAGGCAACCTTGGCTCTTTTATGACTCGTGGACTTCAACTCCCAGAATTCCTGAGCCAGCTCAGGAATTCTGGGAGTCGAAGGCCACAAGTCATAAAAGAGCCAAGGTTGCCTACCCCTGATCTAGAGCAGTGGTTCTTAACCTGGGCGATATCGCCCCCCAGGGGAGCGATTTTGTTTTTCAGGGGGGCGATGGAACGAAAAGGCACGACGCGGGGGGTGTGTGAAGGAACGAAAAGGGGGCGATATAGGGGCGATGGAGCGAGAGGTTTTGGGGACACTTTTGAGACTTTTTCGTACAGTGAATCGCTGTATATCTGTCGTACAAAAACATCAGATTGCTTGCTATTAGTGGATTGAATTGTGTTTTCAAATGTTCCTCAGCTAGCTTCAGTACAGAATGCCATACCTATGTGAATACGCATCGGCTTCGTTTTCTAATTGTTGTTGTGCTCTGTAAAATATTTTGTGTGTCTCTTTGTATTGTACTTTTTTAGCGTGCACTCCAGTTCGATATTATATTTTCTTTATAATCCTTTTTACAGTGTGTGTGACTATATATACTTTCCTCGAATCTTAATTTTGTTTCAAAGTTTTCATCTCGAAATTCTTAGCTCCTGAATTGCGGTTTGTTCTTATGCCCTTTTTATATTTCTTTTTGCGTCTTAAATTTCACTTGTAATTCAATCATTAAATGTTACTGTTTTTTCTTTTCAAGCATTTCACTTTCTTGCAATTGAATTTTGTTTTCAGTGGTCATTACATTTAAGTGTCTTGAATAAATAAGATAATAATGAAATACATGTATCACGAAGTTTGGGAATAAAGTGATGGGTAGCACCAAAATTTTTCACACAGTTGAGATATGGGAAAAAGACTGGAAATAAATTATTTGCATCGATATGTCCTGATGACAATGTTAAAGAAAACAAAAAAAGTTTTGCATAAACTGAAGAATTATTTCCTATGGGAGGTTATGTTGGGGGAGGGGGACGATGACAACTTCCTCATTGGCTCAAGGGGGCGATTCGTTCAAAAAGGTTAAGAACCACTGTTCTAGAGTACGGCAGGCCAGAAAGAGTAGTTTTAGCCCCTCCCCTCCCCACTTCTACCAAGGTTTGTTCTCTGCATCCTCTCTTGATCCTTCTCTACTTTTCATTCTTCTATGTTCAGGGATCTGCCTGCCATCCTGTGGACAAAGAAAAACGTTGCAAAATAGCACATTTTCCCCAGGGGAAACAAAAAATAAAGCAACACAGAACTAATCCCATTGCAAAAAAGCAATTGTTCTAAATAAATCTTGCTTTTCAAATCCGAGCCTTCCCTCCTTTCAGGCTGAACGTAGACGAGCCTCAACCGATGAACCAACAAAGACCGTTCCTGCTATAAATAAAATGTAAATAAAGGTCATAAACTCCTTGAGCTATGCACAGTGCTAAGTAGTAAATCTAAGAAGCAAAGTCTTCCAGGGAGCGGAATAACGGAACCTCCAAGAGAACCTATACCTGATGTTCTGCTCAGAGGGGACTGGAAGGAGATACGTGGCTGGATTATTAGAGGGAGATTTTGGGGTGCTTTTTATGGACGGTTGGGGTGGCCTTAAAAAGACTGACTAACTGACCAACAAATAGGGATTATGCAAGTTGGATGTTTAAGCGTGGTGTTGTGTGAATTGGCCCAGAGTCTGACTGCATGCGTGCAGACAGCCACTTATTCTGGAAAACACGGGCATGCAATCTTTGAAATTAACACGCTTCCTCCTTGCTCATTTGCAACCTGGCGCCCGCTGCTGCAAAGAACCGTGTAACCAAGAGCCAACTTTGCATAAACCACGCCCACCGCCTTGCAGACCACTCCCATCGCCTGACGAAAGCGGCGCGGCGACAAAACCAGAGAGAAGCTTCGCTTTAGACGCATGCGCCCTCGGCCCGTCCCTGCCGCACCCTTCCAGCCGCCGCACAGTGCGCAGTCGCAGACAGGGGCCCGCTCCATTTCCTGAGGAAAGGAGGAGGCTGCGTCTTCCTTCCTGTTTGCTCACGTGTCCTTCCGGGGCAGGGTCGCCACCTTCGGGAGGGGTCGTTCCGGCCGGCTGTGAGCGAGAGAGGCATCGCGCTGAGGTGAGGCCTGCTCCTCCGGGCCGGCGAGGGATTATTATGGGATGGGAGGGTATCGGAGACGGAAAATAGGGCGGGGAGGGGGTCGTCCGCCTCTCCCCTGCCTCCCCCCTCAAAGATCCTTGGCCAGCTAAATTTCTACCTGCAGGGAGCCTGTGCTGTTTTCTCTCCCGGCAGGGGGGGGGCATAAGGGAAATCCCCCTCCCATATTTGCTCTTCGGGCTGCTCATAGTTCGGCTCTAGGTCGTCCTAGGAGGGCGGGGCCAGCCCTTTCGGGGGGAGGGGCCAGGAAGGTGCTCGCCCACCTGATTGGTTCGTTTGGGTCCCTTTGGGAGAAGACATTGACGGGGGGGGGGAAAGAGATTCCTCTGTATGGGGGGTCCCAACTTTGACAACTTTAAGCTGGTTGGGGGATTCTGGGAGTTGAAGTCCACAAGCCTTAAATGTGGCCCAGGTTGGAGACCCCTCCTGACAGGTAGATCTCGACTTAGTGACCGTGCGAAGTTGCGACACGGCACTGAAAAAAGTGACTTTCTCCCTGACAACCAGATCCTATCAGTGTTGATCTAAATATCTTATCTAAATTCAGTTAGGTTCAAATCCCATTAAGTATGAGGTGTAAAACTAAATAGCTGAGCTCAGTAAAAGTTGATGAATGAGAATCCTAGGACATACTTAAGCTTCACGACTTCTGTGATAGTCCTCTAAATAATTAACTCATTGATGAAATTACTAAATAAGCTAATTCATTAAGTTGTTCATCCCAACAAATGCAGCAGATGATAATAATAATAATAATAATAATAATAATAATAATAATAATAAGCTCCTTGCGGGCAATCCCAAAACAAATGGAGCACCACTTGAACACCATTGGCATTGACAAATTCGCTATTAGTCAATTGCAAAAGGCAGCCTTACTAGGAACTGCTTCCATCCTGCAACGATACCTGTAACACCATCAAACATCCACATCTGCCTATCCCAGGTCCTGGGTAAGGACACGATAGGTAGACAAAATGCCAAATCCAGTCTGAACATCTGGCTGACTGCGATGATCAATAATAATAATAATAATAATAATGTTGGAAGGAACCTTGGAGGTCGTCTGGTCCAACCCCATGCTCAGGCAAGAAACCCTATACCATTTCGGACAAATGGCCGTCCAGTCTCTTAAAAGCTTCCAGTGTTGGAGCATTCACCAGTTCTGGAGGCAGGTTGTTCCACTGATTAATTGTTCTAACTGTCAAGAAGTTTCTCCTTAGTTCTAGGTTGCTTCTCTCGTTGATTAGTTTTCATCCGTTGCTTCTTGTCCTGCCTTCAGGCGCCTTGGAAAATAGCTTCACTCTCTCTTCTTTGTGGCAGCCCCTGAGATACTAGAACACTGCTATCATGTCCCCCCTCGTCCTTCTCTTCATTAAACTAGACATACCCAATTCCAGCAGCTGTTCTTTGTATGCTTTAGCCTCCGGTCCCCTAACCATCTTTGTTGCTCTTCTCTGTACTCTTTCTAGAGTCTCAACATCTTTTTTACATCGTGGTGACCAAAACTGGATGCCGTATTCCAAGTGTGGCCTTACCAAGGCATTGTAAAGTGGTATTAATACTTCACGTGCTCTTGATTCTATCCCTCTGTTAATGCAGCCTAGCACTGTGTTGGCCTTTTTGGCAGTTGAGGAGATGGTTTCCACCATCCTGTTATTCAAACGTTATGCTTTCTTGTACATGGACACCCCCCCACTCCTGTTGATCCCCTTCAGCAGCAGCAACAGCAGAAACTCTGCAAAATCTGCTGGATTTAGGCTAAAAGTCCCAGAACAAAAATAGTGCTCAGCAGCAACAAGCAAACGATAACCTACTGGATGGAGCTAGGCTATTTGAAATCTGCAGCTTGGCTTCCTGCTTAACCCTTCTGATGGGAAGTGGGATTACTCACAGTTTGTTTCCTCTAGGGCTTGAATAGGCAGAAAACTCACTTTCAAGGGACTATGATTAATATCCTTTTTAAAGCTTGCCCTGTAGCATGCCATTGCTGGCTACACCCAAAACTGTGGTTGCCTCTCCTACCAGCGTTCCTCTTAGTTCTTCCAAAGAATCTTCTTGTGGCCTGACCGTTCGTGATCCCTCTACCAAATCCCCTGGTTTGGACCTGCCTCGCTCTGTCTGGGTGAAATTGAACAGAATTAGGTGTGATATTGGAAGAAGTGCCTCTGCCCTGTACCAGTGGGGATGGAAAGATTCTCCTTGTTGCAATTGTGGTGCTGATATATAAACTATTAAATATATTGTGCAAGAAGACACATGCCTTGTGTTCTTTGGTTCCCTAGAAGATCAGTTGTAGACCATTACAACAGAAACTAAGAAATTGCTGCTGCTTAGGCGTAAATGCACTGCCCAGTTTCTTTCGTGGATTAACTCGGATGATTAACTCCTGTCCTGACTAAGTACTTCTTTAACAGAAACATATTTTGTAGTTCCTAACAACAATTCGGAACTCTGGATCAAGACGGAGCTGCATTAGCCCTCGAGGCAAAGCTGAGGATGGAAGGAGTGGAAGTTAAGGAGGAATGGCAAGACGAAGACTTTCCCAGGTAAGGCACAGCTGACTTGTTTTGGTTCACTTTTGTTGGAAAACGATGTTGGCGATTGATTGTATAATTTGCAGTGTAGCCTCAGGGCAGGGTTCTTAGAAGATGCATTTGTCAGAGTGGATTCAAACGGCATTCAACGAGCTTGACTAGATTGTAAGTGTACAATTTGGGCCTAGACTAATCTTCGTGGGCCAGGGGAAGTTTGGAAATCAGTTCAAAATGTACAAAAAAATTCCTTGCCTATGAAACTGGGGCAGATTCTTACTCAAGGCACGGTGATTATAAAAATTAATTCAAGTTATTGCAATGAGTTATTTATATGCTGATGGTAGTAGCAGTCCTGATTAGCAAAGATGTTTTTTACAGACCAATGTGGGAGGCTATTTGTGCAGAAGGTGTGCGGATACCACAAGAACAGGTTGGACTTTTGTGTAGTCCTCAGGTGTTCATGTTAGTGTGTTATCCCCTGATAAATAGGACTCACAAGTGGTCTGGAGTGTGGAGATAGTTCTGCCCACTAGGAACCAAATTACATGTGAGCTATTGCAACTGTTAGTGTTACATAAAGGAAATAGGAAAGGAAGCAAGAGATCCTGACTACATTTAATGTCTGCCCTCTACCCCAGACCTTTACCAGAAGATGACCATATTGAAGCTACATCTGGGCCAGCTGAAAGAGGAGACCAATCTGGTAAGTGCACCCATCTCAGTTGGAGTAGGCAATTTGATGCCCTCAAGATATTGTGAACTTGGCCCCGGGGCTGAGGTAGACGGCGACGTCTCGTTTGCCGCTGTCAAAATAATTTCGTCAAATTAAAAATATGTCATCTATGCTGTTTCATTTCCTAGCATTTTCTCAAAGCTGATTCAGGAAGAATAAGAAACTCTGGTGGGACACTTGATATATTCTGATGGTCCAGATTTTGTTTTGTCTAATATTCCCCTGGCCAGTTCCAGTATTGTAAAAGTGGGCGAAATGTTCTGATGTTGCAGTTCTCTAGTCTTCAAATACCTGCTTTCTGTAGAGTAGGGGTGTCTAACCTGGGCCGCTTTAAGACTTGTGAACTTCAGCTCCCAGAATTCCCCAGCCAGCCACAATTCTAAAGTGGCTCAGGTTGGACACCCCTGCTGTAAAGGTTTTCCAACCTTGGAGAAGACTGAGGCAGCCTTCCCAGGCGTGCTCTAACCTTGAAATTGACTATCATAATTATGAAAATGGTTTGAAATCAGACTACATTTAATAAGATCAGAACATTTCAGTAAGGTGGACTGGAGTGTTTAAGACCAGTAGCACTGGGAATAACTAAGTAATAACTAAAGTTATGTATATGATTTCTGCTGAAATATCAGAACTGATTTCAAACAGAATAGAATTAGTCTTAGTATTTAATTCTAAAACTGTTGAATATATAATTAATTTATTTGATGAGTGAGGTGCCTGTTTGATCTCCTTTTTAAAAAGTAAAAGATTGTAACATAATGCTTATGTTCGATGGGCCATCAACAATTAGCCTTACTTACCAACACAAGTAAAGCAACTTTTATCTATCCACCTTCTATTAAATAATCTATCTTCTAGTTTTGAGGCTTTTTTTTCTAGCTTTGACATTTATCAAGGAATCACATGTTATCTTCCCCTACCTTTCAACCTATTAGAAATTAATGGCAACAAAGTTAAGAAGAAATTAATAGCTCCAAATATAAACTTGACTTTGGATCAGAGTGAAGAATCCATTTTATCTGGTTTAGAGGCAAGTGGAGATATTGACTTGGATGATATAGACACCCCCTCCGAGAACAGCAATAATGAGTTTGAGTGGGAAGGTAAGATTTTTTTTTTTTTGATAGCAATGACATTTTGTCCTTAGGCATGTTCCCTCTCACGTGCTGCTGTTGATGAGCATGCTACTTTGTAGGGATGTTTCCTATGCATTGAAACGGGGGGTGCAGAGTCCACGACTCCACTAATGCTTGGCTTACTTTGGGCAAGAGGAGGGTCCAGGTGGACATCATTGCAATAAGGTTTCTGTCTCTTCTCTTTTTAATGCCGCTGTCTGCATTTCCCTGGAAGGATAGTTTCCATTAACAGCCTTCTGTCCTTGGAAACAAACTACTAACTTGCTGAAGTAGTTTTTCCCACCTCTGTGGTAAGACTTGCACTACTGAAATTCCTTTTGCAAAACCAGGAGGATGATTTAGTCCTCACTAGCCCCCCCACGCCCCTCCCAGAGCCTGCATAGCTTTGATTGAAAAATTTGTCTATTTGCATGACTGCTGCAAATCAGGGCAGTGAAAATGATTTTGTACCAAACTTACAATCAGTGGGAAAATGATAGTTGAAGGGAAACCGTCTAGAGCTGTCAGCGTCTCAAAGAGTTTTCAGTGACTGTCTGCACCACCCTAAATAATACGTTTTTAAAAAGGCCTTGCTTCTGGAATTTGGGCATCTCAAACTTAAATGCTGATTACTCTGTGTGGAGAGCAACTCTGATGTAGAGAAAATTAATCAGAATGAAACTCACATACATTGATTTTAAAAATCTGCAAGAGATTCCATGTTTTCAAAGAAAACGGTAACTTGATATTCCCAAGTATCTTGACTTTAAAATCATTCTGCTCAGAAACTGCTTAATTCCTTAATGCCTTGTTCATTTCCATAAGTGAATGTGGACCCTTCAAAACGTGAGCCTCTCGCTCTGAAAACTTAGCTGACCAACCCATCTATGCTGCTTGGGGAATTCTGGGAGTTGGAGTCCACCCATCTTAAAAGTTGCTGAAGTTGGGAAATCTTGGTCTGATAATGTAATGCTACTTCCAATCCTCTGTTTACATGGTGGCCAGACGACCTTCCGAAGCAGAAAAGCAGCGATGCGGTTCGGAAGGGCTCCCTGTTGGAATACACAGCAGCGGAAGAGAAGGAGGAGGAACGGCGGTGGCGAATGTACCAGATTGGCGACCAAGGTCACCGAGTAGACATGAGGGCCATTGAGCCCTACAAGAAAGTGATTAGTCACGGAGGTGAGGGCTAACCTATTATAATGCTTGGTTCACTAAACAGGCTCTCTGCAACTGCAAGAAGCCTTAAGAAGAAGCATCATTCTGACTGTTATTTTTCCCCTTCCCAGGCTATTACGGGGATGGGCTGAATGCAATTATTGTCTTTGCGGTTTGCTTCATGCCAGAAAGTAATCAGCCAAATTACCGATACTTAATGGATAATCTGTTTAAGTAAGTGGTCTAGCAAACAGGTAACCCTGCTTTAATGTGGAGTCAGATTTTGATCCTTCTCATCTGCAGTAATGGTTGTCCGAGGCCTGGGAGGAGCTGGGAGGGATATTCCATCATCCTCCTTACAGGAGAGGCTACAGATTAACCCACAGTTCTTGGCATGCAGAATACCACCGGGACAAGACTCCCCCATCTGAAGAGTCTTTCTCATTTTCAAAGATTAGTAAGGGATCAGATTGGATTGGGAGTTTCTCTTGACCCTCGTGGTGAGACAACTTGGAGATCATGGTTTGTCTGTGAATCTCTTTGTGAATGCTCAACCATTCCATTCTGTAGAAGAACCATCTTTTCCCAGTTACATCTACCTGACCCATCAGAGCAGAGAGGCCAGATATGTTATGGGTCCCTTCTCTTATGGAGGACCATCTAGGGCAGGGGTAGGCAACCTTGGCTCATTTATGACTCGTGGACTTCAACTCCCAGAATTCCTGAGCCAGCATGGGGGTACTATGGCCCCCTTATAACTCATAGACTTCCAGAATTCCTGAACCAGCATGGCTCAGCTTGGAAACCTCCCTTTCCCATCAGCATGGCTGGCTTAGGAATTCTGGGAGTTGAAGTCCATAAGTCATAAATGAACCAAGGTTGCCTATCCCTGGTCTAATGGGACGAAGAAGAAAGGCCTTCTTTGTGGTGGCTCCCTCCCTCTGGAACATCATTCCTGCAGAGATAAGATTCCCCCCCCCCCCACCCTGATACTCTTTCAAAATGTCCTGAAGACATGGTTTTGTGAACAGGCAGTGCTGGGAAGGCGAGCTCATATTTATGACCATTGCTGTGTTCCAGGATCATGTGATTCCCTTTTGCAACCTGACCAGTGAAATCAGTGGGAAAGCCAGATGTGCTTAACAGCTGGGATTCTAACCTATCAACTGCAGTGATTCACTTAAGCATGGGTGGCAAGAAAGGTCGTAAAATGGGGCAAAACCCACTTAACAAGTATCTCACTTAACAAATTTTGGGCTCCGTTGTGTTTGTAAGTTGAGGAAGATCTGTATTGTCTGGTCTTAGGGCAATGGTGGCGAACCTATGGCACAGGTGCCAGAGGCGGCACTCAGAGCCCTCTCTGTAAAGGATCCCTCTTTTCCAGAGTTGCACAAAAGGTGCAGATTGGGACACACTGGGGGGGGGGCAGGGCCTTCAGCTGGGTTTTATAAAACCTTTTCGCTTTAGGCCTCCGCTGCCATGTGTAAAAAAAAAAAAAGGTTCAATCAATCAATTTCTACTTCTCACGGGGAAAAGAAAAGATTTGCAAAGCTGGAATTGATTAAACTTTTTAGTCCCACCCAGTCTGCCGTTACCACCACAGCCACGTCCACCCAATGGGCCACACCCAGCCGGCACCTGACGATGCATACATGGGTTTTGGGTTGCAATTTGGGCACTTGGTCTCTAAAAGGTTCGCTATCACTGTCTTAGGGTGACTCAAGCTTCTGCTGCTGCTGTGGGTGAATGCTGTTTCTCCCTCTTCTTCCCACAGATACGTTATCGGCTCCCTAGAATTATTAATAGCGGAGAGCTATATGATTGTTTATCTAAACGGGGCAACCACCCGGCGGAAGATGCCCAGTTTAGGTTGGCTCAGGAAGTGTTACCAGCAAATTGACAGGAGGTAAGATTAAATAGGGAGAGGGAAGTGGGAAAAGGCACAGCTAACTGGAAGAGCAGTATAGCGTTCTTTAAGGGTGGGAATTGGTAAAGAGGATCGGTCTCATCTGGGGACTGGGATCACCAGGTAATTTTTTGGGAAGAGTGGTGTTGCCAACAATGTTGCCTTCCATTGCCAACATCTGTGTTGTTTTTATTGCTCTTAGGTTAAGGAAAAACCTGAAGTCACTAATAATAGTTCATCCTTCCTGGTTCATTAGAACACTTCTGGCAATCACAAAGCCATTTATTAGGTAATGCACACGTTTATCCTTTCCTTTTTTTTTTTTAAGCTAAGCATCGGCACGGTTAGTGCTATAGCGGTGACTGTTTTTCCTGTTCTCTTTCAGCTCAAAATTCAGCCAAAAAATCAGATACGTCTTTACCTTGGCAGAGCTGGCAGAGCTCATTCCCATGGACAGCGTAAGCATCCCCGAATGCATAAAACGGTAGGTCACTTTTCTTGGGTGTCCCCAGCCCCCAAAGAGTGCCTGGAGTTTTAGATCCGACGGGCTTCCTTCCGTGGAGCTGGGATAGAGTCGTATGGATCACCACGTCCTCCCAAACGTGGCTTTTCTCCCAGGAGTTGCTTGTTAAATTGCTGGGGCTCTCGGGAGCTTCCTCAGAGAAGTCACTTGCCCTGCCTAGATTCACGCGAAGTGATCCCAACCGCTGTGCTGTGTTAGGGATTCGGATTTATTATGGAGGCTCCACGTCCATTCTTTCTAACTTAAGTTTAAGCCAACTGCTGCCAGGGATCCTGATCTCCCTTCCCAGGGAGGGAGCATCAGAGATGCCCAGTTGCTGTGAATTTGGGAGGGAGACACACAACAGACTCTCCTACAGAGGGAGAAAACTCCCCAAAACTTTTGCTTAATGTCATTTTTCTATGTTGGTGCTGGGAAGTGCTTGGCTAATACATGCGGTTGACTTGGGTTTTTGCAAGTTTCAAAATCTGCACCTGCTGTACTAAAAATGAATTTTCCCTACTAAGGTATGAAGAAGAAAAATTTAAAAAGAAACTCCAAAGGTATCTGCCCTTCTTGATTAGGAATGCCTGCGTCTTCTTGCCTTTCCTGCGCTGGGCTGGCTTTGGGAGGGGGTGCGGCTGGCTGGGATGCCCACGGCATGTGGGGATGGGAATTCACTCTTGCAAAAAGCTTGCAGGATGCTTGGACTAGCTCAGGGGTGGGGAACCTTGGCTCTTTTATGACGCTGGGAGTTGAAGTCCACGAGTCATAAAAGAGCCAAGGTTCCCCACCCCTGGACGAGCTTGTGCTAGGCTGCCCACACTGCTGCTTGTTTCGCAGAACGATAAGTGATTCCCAAAGCTGAGTCTTTGCTGTCTAATTACGTGTAGTCCTCAACTTACAGCAGAGTCCAACATTTTTGTTGCTAAGCAAGATGTTTGTTAAGTGAGTTTTGCCCCATTTGACAACCTTTCCTGCCACACTTGCTAAGTGAACCACTACAGTTAGCAACACGGTCGTTAAGTGAGCCTGGCTTCTCCCATTGACTTTGCTTGTCAGAAGGTCACAAAAGGGGATCATGTGAAACACGCACACGGGACACTGCAACTGTCGTAAGTACATGCCAGGTGTCCGAATTTTGATCAGGTGACCACGGGGGATGCTGCGAAGGTCGTAAGTCTGGAAAGTGATCACTCACTTTTTTCAGTGCCGTCATAACTTTGGTCACTAAATGTAAGTTGAGGACCACCTATGTAACACTAACCATCAAATCGAGAGCTGCAAATTGTTCCCATTAAAATTGGGCAGCCACGGCTGCAAAAACCGTTCCTTAATTCCAGATGGAGGCCGATTGTGACTCAGCCTTGGCTCATCTACCTTAAAAGCTGGCGGAATTACTTCTTTCTTCATCTTGTGCTCTTTGCCTTGGCAATCCCTCCCTCCCCCCTCCCCAACCCGTTTTCAATGCATGTGGAACATTTCTGGTGGGGCTTTTAACAAGAGTGGCCTGCTGATAAATACATCTTCACCACGCTGTCTAATCTACAGCACTCATCACTATGGCTGATTAGCAAACCCCTTTGATCCAAAAAGTGCTGGTTGTATATAGTTGCTTCAAATGCCTCCCTTTTTCTTTGGAGGGACGGCTCAGAATATTGCAAACTTGGCAAAAACCCCAAAAGCCGATCCCATCTTCAGAGCACTCTGCCCAATGGAAGACGTGACCCCATATGCTTTTGGGAAACACCCAGCTGGGCAGAGAGGAGGGATCAAGGACGGAGCTAGCCTAGAGTCTCTGCACAGCGCCAAAAGGGCTCCTGGCCAACTCCCCCCATGTTCCTTTGGAACCTTATCGAACTGCTCCCTGATTTGGGAAATTCCTGTGCTGTAGGCAGAACACGTTAAAGCCATTATCTTGTACTCTGCACGTGTGAGCTTGGCTCTTTGCACCTGACCTATGCAGAGGTTGAGCACTTTGGGAGAAGTTGCACACTCGGTTTCATTTCCCTGTTAACTATCACTGTTCAAAGTTCCCCTCAAGTCTGTAGGAAACTTCCTGCTTTAACTTGTATTAACTTGTTTCACTGCAATTGCTAAATATTAAGTTTTTTTCCTCCTTACAAAATATGACATGTTTTTCTTCTCTCTCATGAGCAGAATTGATCAAGAACTTAATGGGAAACAGGAGCAGACATCTGAACAGTAAAAAAAAAAAAGTGTTTTTGAATTCAAGCCGAGAGTGAAGAACACGCTGGGAGATTTGAAGTCCTGAAGAATGCTTTGGCCTTCTGCGTCCGGACTTGGCCTGTTGGATGACGCACTGCTGAGTGGGTTTGCAAGTCCCGGGTGATGCCGACACTTCATAGTTGCCTTGATTATAACTTTTACACTGCAGTGTCACAAAGGCATCCTAGGAGAGGCACCCATTTTTGTATCGCGATGCTTATTCAGTAAGTATTTATATGCTTCGACGTTAAGGGGAGAGATCATATATATTTTTATGACTCTTCAACACATATTTTATAATGTTCATCTGCAAAAAAAAAAAAAAAAAAACAACCACCGAGACACACTAGCCCACCGATGACGGTTGTCATTTATTTAGGAATAAAATGCATGAGAATTTCTTACTTATGGTGAACTGCTTCTTGGCTAAGGAAGAGAGAAATGTAATTTGGTTATCTGCAAGGCTAGCAAGATCTTTTGCTGTTTCCACTGTGGGATGTGCCTAACCCTGGAGTTGAGTGTCCTCAGCACAAATTCAATTCAGTCCAGGCCCTTCTGGGTTGAAACTCCAGTGTTTCAACTCTCTCTCTCTCTTCTGAACAGAAAGATCCAGTCATTGAGAATCCTGGCAGCACTACTGTTTGAATGTTGGGCTGGTGGAGGCTGGCTGGCTCTGGATGCCCAGGGAGTGACTTATTTGGGATATTGGGCGACATCCCAGAGCGGAACAGTGGTGGCCTCCACCCAGTCTTCCCCTTGCTACCACGAAGGGTATCTTGGCCCAGCTTCTGATGTGCCTTGCAGCTTTGCCATCCAGCCATGTGAGCGGAGTTCCAGAAGACGGTGTCAGGATGTGACACTCAAGAGTAGAGAAAGTGTATCCAGAGTTAGGGGCAAGGAGAACAGCTTTGCCTACGGAGGCTGTTCTCAAGGGCCCAGCATCCTGGGTCTCTTGCAAAGCTTCCAATCTAAAGTGGAAGGAGGAGGCCAGGTGGTCATTTTGTACTTTGGAAAGCAAAGCACTAGATTCACTTTATATACCCTTTTTTAAAGGAGATGTGTGTGTGTTGCATCTTTTACCTGTTTTGATGAAACAGCTGCTTTAAGAGCAGCCTTCTCAATAAGGGCAGGGGTGTGTCATGTGCACTAATTCCTAGCGGGTTAATCATCAAAGCCATAGTGGAATGTAGCAGGAACGTTACGTTTTTGGAAAGCTTGGGCACCGCTCTTTAGAAATATTTTCATTTGTATTTAAATTTTGTGCGTGTTGTTAGCAACAGTGTTTTTGTATTCCCCAGTGTTTATGGGGAAAAAAAATACTGCCCGTGTGTTGGTTTATCACCCAGTCAATAAAATGTTTTTAAATAAAGGTTTTAATTGGGTATTTGTCATAAATGCTTAAATTTATTTATTTTAAGGTGGCCGTATGGGAAAAATCCCATCTTCACACAACTGGAGGGAAGGAGTTGTTAAGTACCACCACCAGAAGACAGAAGGGCGGGGGGGGGGGCAGTTGCATTAACTGGGTCAATGACAAAACAATGGCTGGTTCAGACGTTGCTTGAGAACAATGTGCTGTGGATTTTCCCTGGTGCTCCTGTAAAGGCTCTGAAGCGTGTGGCCCACATGTTCAAATGCTAGACAGCAAAAGAGAAACAGAGAAAGGCGGAGAAAAACAACATTTGCTTCTCTTCTTTGCCCCTTTTTATCGGAATGAGGGTTATCCTTGCTTTCCTGGCTGGAGCTTTGACAGAATCCCTGCAGGCTGCATTTATGTCTGCGCTTGGTGTAAGGGTGGGTGGGCGAGCGACCGAGCGAGGCCTGTGCAGGATCCGGGTGCTCAGCCGCTGGGCAACCGGGTGCCAGGAGGGTGGAGACCCTGGAGCAGCGTTCGCTCCTTTTCTCCAGTTCGGGTTACAGCCAGGCTCTCCTGCTGGCCTCCCATCCAAGGGCTAGCCGAGAAACGCTGCCTGTGGAGCGGCTGGGCTCCTCTGCACACGTACAGAGCGCGTTTCCCTGGCCTCCCCGACCCGTCAAAGGCCGTTCCCGAAAGGCCATTCCTGCCGATTCGAAGCCGCCGCGCTCGGCCGCCGGCTGCCTTTTCTGCGCGTGCGTCACGTTCGCTCGGCTTGCCGAACGCTCCTCGCCCGCCCCTTCCTCGGGAGCGCATGCGCGCGTGGTCGCCTTTCGCGCCTGCGACGCCGCAGCTCTATGGTCGCGCCTGCGGCTGGCATATCGACTTCCGCTTCCGGGCCCCGCTCCCGGTGGAGTCGGAAAGAGGAGGGGATCGTAGCCGGCGGCCCGTTTCTCCGCGTCGGAGGTCTGGAGGAGCCCGGCGGGCCCCCTGCGGGAGAGGGCCCCTCCCGGCCAGGTAGCGCCCGGGCAGCCGCTCCCTCCCGATCCGCTCCCCGCGCTGCCCCATTTCGGGGGACCCTGCCCGGCCTCGGGACTCCGGGCCCCATCCCCCGCGGCCGGGCTCAGCGCAGGCCGCGCAGCTCGGCTCTGCCGGGGGCCAGACGGGGGGGGAGACGCTCCTCCCGGCCAAACTCGCATGCAGAGGAGCCCTGTGCACGCGTGTCCATGGGCGCGTACGTGCCCAAGAGAGGCGGCCAGGAGTGGGGACCCGCCCTCCCCATGGAAGGGGCTTTGGGGCTGCCGGGGACCCCCGACCCGGAGGGCCTGGGAAGGGCTGGCTGCCCAGTTGAGAGAGGCCGCTGGAGACAAAGTGCGCATGCGTCTCTCTGCTTGCCCTGCCCGAAAAAGGGGCGGGGGGCTCAGTGGGGGGGGTTGGGGGAACATCTGCCTGTGAAGCATCTTCCTGCAATCAGAGATGCACCCGAAGAATTACTTGAGCGTGCAGGTAGTCCTCGACTTACAACGGTTTAGTGACGTTCAAAGTTACGAAGGTGCTGAAAAAAAGTGACTTAGGACCATGTTTCACACAACCGTTGCAGCCTCCCCGTGGTCACGTGATCAGAATTCAGACACTTGGCAACTGACTCATTTATGACGGTCACAATGTCCTGGGTCACGCAATCCCCTTTGGCAACCTTCTGTCAGGCAAAGTCAGTGGGGGAAGCCAGTTTCACTTAACGACCGTATTGCCAACTTAATAACAGATGATTCACTTAATATCTACAGCAAGAAAAGTCGTATAATGGGGCAAAACTCACTTAACAAATGTCTCACTGGGCAACAGAAATTTTGGGCTATATTGTGGTCATAAACCGAGGACTATCTGTAATTTGAAGAGCAGGGTGTAGGCAGGGTTTAATGGCAAGGAAGCTAAATGGTGTTTGGTTCTTTTATGTGATTTTTATTATAATGTGTGTTTTGTGAGGAAAAAGGAACTTTTTCTTGAACTGGCTGGAAGATCTCCTATCTCAGGCTCTGCATTGCGTCCATTATCCATCCTTCGGCCAGAATAACTGTTACCCTGGATTTTCCAGATCTTTGGTGAAAGTTTCAGATCTGTGGATGATCAGCATCTATCATGGCTTACCAACTGTATAGAAACACCACCTTGGGAAACAGTCTTCAAGAAAGCCTGGATGAGCTCATTCAGGTAAGAGATAAGCTCCTTCTTATTCCCATCCATCTAAATAAATGGCTTAAGTAGTATGAACGTGATTTAAGTAGGTTCATATTAGTTTTGCTGTCAGAGGTCAAAACAATAAATACTGCTTAGGTGAAAACATGTTAACAGTGCTGCTTTTCCTCCATGTCATAATTGGAGGCGGAAGCAAAGAGTAAGATGACACTGATGACAGCAGAGGCTTCACAAAGGAAGACAATAATCTTAACTGCCCAGTTTCTCAAACTCAGAACAAGGGTTTGAGTTCCGATGGACAATGTTTGCTAAGCTCATGAAGTTGTAATTTAAATGTCTTTAGAGTTCTGTGTTTGTACTGTGGTGGAAGGGAATGAGAAAAACTAGTCACGTCGTGTCAGTTGAAATTTTAAATTGGAAATTCTAATCTGTGCTCTGAAAGTTTTGGCTGTTTGGACAAACTTGGTACACCAATCAGTGGGTGAATATCAAAACAAAGTTCTGATTTTAGGTAGATGAATGTTTATCTTTGGAGTTTATAGTTTTCTTATTCAATCTTTCAGTCTCAGCAGATCACTCCCCAGCTCGCTCTTCAAGTCCTCCTACAGTTTGACAAAGCTATCAATGCTGCATTAGCACAGCGGGTCAGAAACAGAGTCAATTTCAGGGTAAGAAATGTTAATTAGAAATCATAGGGATGCTGCAGTGGTCATAGATGTGAAAAATGGTCCTAAGTCACATTTTTTTCAGCGCTGTTGTAACTTTGAATCATCATTAAACTATGTGTATAAAAATAGCTGCTTAAAAAGCAGCGAAAGTAATGAGATATTATGTAAACCTTCCAAACCCTTGGATGGCTGTGTTTCATGCCTTAGTTGAGCAGGCTGAGCACCAATTACAGATATATTTATGAATAGTATTGAGGGTGGAACATCCATTGCTTAATGATGTAGCCCGTTATACATACATTATACAATACAAATACAAGTTTGAATAAAATATCAGGAAATACAAACTACATGGCCAGAGATAAACTATTAAATTAAGATGAAACCATGATGAAATCACCTTAATATGGCACCATAGAATCACAACAGGATAGAAGGCTGACATCAATTACGATAACAAAAGCAACAATATTCTAAAATTCTCCTGCTCCACGGTCATTCCTTTGATGACCACAAGGGGGCGATAGAGCTACGTCTTTTTCCAGAAGGTTTCCTGCCTCTATCCGGAAGGGAAGAAAACTCAGCTGCCCAATTCAACAGGTACTGTTTGGTTTTTCCCTTTTCTAAGCGCCCCCCTCCTTTTTTTCTTTCCCTCCCAAAGGGCTCTCTGAATACGTACAGGTTTTGCGACAATGTTTGGACCTTCGTGCTGAACGACGTGGAATTCAGAGAGGTCACCGAGGTGGTGAAAGTGGATAAAGTTAAAATCGTGGCCTGCGATGGGAAAAGTAAGTTTGGGAGTTACGTCTGTCTCTCTGTGGGACTCTGTTTCTCAACCTCGGCCACTTTTAAGCTGGTGGACTGCAACTCCCAGAATTCTGAGAGTTACAGTCAACCCACCTTAAAGTGGTTGAGGTTGAAAAAGTCCGCTCTAAGGATATTGAAGCCAGGCAGATCCATGATTGCTTCCCTTTTGAAAAGTGGATGTACAAATTGCAGCTCCAGGACCGTTTTAATCTTAGGCAGGTTTGTCTTTGATCTTGAAGATACCTGGCATTAGCTGAAGGGAATTTGTTAGGAGGAGTAACAACATCTTTACTTACACTTTGGGCTGCCAAAATCAACAAAAGAACAGGTATCCTGAAGCTCGCTATCTCCTATTAATACAGAGCCTCATTGTGTAAATTCGCTGACTCTCTTCCCCCACCTGATGCAGTTGTTGAACTGGAGACCCTGGAGCAGTGTTTGCTCTTTTTCTCCAGTTTGGGTTACAGCCAGGCTCTCCTGCTGGCCTCCCATCCAAGGGCTAGCCGAGAAAACCTGACTGCAGTTGTTTCAGCAAGATAGGGTGAACCCTGTTGCATTCCAGATGCACAAACCTCTTGAGCTGTGTATTTGCAGAAGTGCTTCCTTCTGACAGATCCACACACCGTGACCGACTTCCTTTTACCTATTTGTCCTGAGTTGTGACAGCAAACTCTTGGATTTCATACTGCTGTTTCCATTTTTGCCATGCTGCTGGAAGGCTGGATCTGTTTAGATCAGGGACTTTATATTTATAATTGTTAGCTCCGGGTGTTGACCTGAACAGGGTGTTGAGTTTTTGGATGCTTTGTCTTTCTTAGGATTTATCTTTACGGACAAAGAATTTATCTTTACCAAGTTATGTGCTGTTTAAGGGTGAAAGGAAAAAAAATCTCATTTAATTAAAATTATTTCGAGTTCAATGATTCAGGACACAAGTTCTCCATACTCCTAGTTAAAATACAATCGTACAGTTAATTTGACCTTTGGATCTTGAATAACGTCACATTGCTACTACTATTAGTAATGGTGGCGTAGTGGTTAGAATGCAGTATTGCAAGCTATTTCTGCCAATTACTTGCAGTTCAAGGTTGACACAGCCTCCCATCCTTACGAGGGCGGTAAAATGAGGTTGACTCTGTAAAACCTCTTAGAAAGGGCTGGAAAGCCCTGTGGAGCAGTATATAAAGTCTAAATGCTACTTGCCCTCACCTTCTTCCTAGGGTGAGAGTGATGGGTGCAGATTCACCCAGTTGCCTTTGGGGCTGACTGGAACTCCCTGTCCTCCGATCTCTAGCCTGATGTCTTAACCACAAGATCAAACTGGCTTATTAAGAATAAATAGTCTTAAATTCCTTCTATGTAGCTTTAGTTTTTGAGCCGTGTTTCTCACCTGATGTTCTCCTTGCCTCCAGATACGGGTTCGAATGCTGCGGAGTGAAGGGGGATTGGGGCCTCTGAGCCCACGCGGATGTGATGGGCAGGGCTTCCCGGGGAGCAGCCTGGACAAAGAAAGACTGTCGGGAGTTGTTTTAATAATGTAGGCAAAGCTCACTTTTTCTGGAAGGCCTTGTGGAACTGTCTTTGCAAGGTCCCATAAGGCACCTCCGGGCGTTGGGTCGGTGATGAAGATAAGCAAGCTTGCTTTTTTAAAAAAAGAGGATCAAAAATAAGGATGAAACATGCACAGCTACTTTTGGGTTCATCAAGGTCACCAATAAATATTTTATTTAAAACTTTTAGTGGCGTGAAAAGTATTGAATCCTCTTCCTACCGGTACGTACGATCAGCTCTTGATGGATTCACTTGTTTTTTTCCCCCTTAAAATCTCATGGCTTTGCAAATATAATATCTATATCTATGTAGATAGATATAGATATAGATAATTTTAGCTGTATTCGTCACCTGTATTCATTCAGTGTTGGGATCTTTACCAGCTCCTTTTTAAAATTAACAATATTCAATCAAGAGAGAATTAACAACCCACGTTTAGTCTTGAATGCCAAACTGGGAGTTCAGCAACCCAAATTCTGCCTTTATGGACTCATCCGAGCATTCTGAGTAGCAATGAAGGAACTGAATGTGTATTTGCAACAGAAAGTAAGCACTGTTACTGGAGCTGCACATTTTTCTGTTGCTAATGGGAATGTTGGTTGTTCTCAACTCAGTAAGATTTCTCAGATAAGATCTTCCCTGGCTAGTTTCTGTCTTGTTGCTAAATAGTTCAATCATTTTCCTCTGTCATAAGGCAGCTACTTGACTGTGGGCATAGCAACATACTTAATTTCCAAACATGAATATCCTTTGTGCCCTCTTGACAAGGAGATTGGCTTCAAGGCTAGGCACATACGGTTTTCTCGTTCACTTTTAGGACTGCTTTTCCATGAAGGTGTGCTTGGACAGCAGCGGAATCCTTTACAAAAGGCTTAAAACTGGCCCTCATTTTCTGCATGCAACACTTCACCAAACAAACCTGGAGATCTAATGGCTGCCAGATGTAGTAGATTACTGATTTTTTAAAAAAACTTTGGCCAAGTGGAAATTTCTTGAAAGTAAAAACCTACAGTACTGTGGCAGGTGCATGAGTGATGTGAAAACAGGTTGCCCTGCTTCAGAATGACTTTACAAATCTGTAAGTCTAAACCACAGTTGCAGAAGCTCATGGTAGATAGAATGAACTACGATTGATTGTCCCTCATTTGTTTTTTGGCTGCCTTCTGTCCTAGCAGACAGTTGCCCGCTTCTTGGCATCTTCCAAGCTGTCTGCTGGAAACATGGCAATTGACATTTAAATTAACTCTTGCTAAAGCAGAGGTATCCAATTGTGGCTACTTTAAGCCTTGTGGACTTCAGCTCCCAGAATTCCCCAACCAACATGGGGAATTCCGGGAGTAGAATCCACAAGGCTTAATCTGGCCAAGTTTGGACACCCCTGCTCTAAAGCTTACATCATAATGACCCAACACACACATACACACACACACACATACACACACACACGCTTAACAACTGACCTGAAAAAGACTTATGACCTGATTTGATTGATGGTTGGGCGCCCTCTGTGGTCACGGGATCCAAGCGCCCAGCATAGGACCATCGTGGACAAGCTCCTTTACAGTCCTATGTTGAGAACTATCTGTAGGCGCGAAGGGAGGTTTAGCTGAGCTCAGAGTTGGGGACATATCAAAGAAATAGGAGATGGGTGAAATTGTTGAGAAGGGCTCCCAGGTAATCATGGACTGGTCAGCTTGATGTCAATACTTGAGCAAATGTTTGTGCATCTAGTTTATGAGCAGATAGAAAAGAAAACAGAATCGGTAAAATGTATCTAATCCTGAACTGATTTACCAGCTTAATTTTGCTTCTTTGGGCTTGCTGGGTCTGTGTTTCCATGTCACTTTAGTTCCATGATTTGTGGCAAAATTCCACTCAAACAATTGCTCCTTTGATGATTCCCTTGAGTAATTTCCTCCACGGAGAGGCTGGGCTTGTTTACTTTTCTTGGAGGGGGGGGCAAGCTTTCTACGTCCCACAGTGTTATCTTGCAGAATAAAATTTGATGGTTGTAATTAACAATTATTTGAGCAACTTATTTGCCATCTGGCTGTGCTTCCTTTCCTGCATATTCATTGCAGCACTGCGCACAAGCGAGTTTTGGTTTTGCTACAATGAACGGCCAGTTTGAGGCAGTTGTAGATATTATTCCATTAATGCATAGCTTCCCTCTTGGACTTCAAATGCTAAAGACTTGGGGAAGATTTGGGTGTTGCTACCGAGCCTACCCCCCTCATGCGTCCCACACAGCCTGGCATGAACTCACCAGAAACCTCTGCACTGGTGTGGCAGGCAGCAGCACCCCTCCCTCCTCCCAAGCCCAAGCAGAAGACATCTCTTCTCGAGAGGCCTTCGGTTGGCGCTGCCCTTTGAACGCTTGGCAAGGGGCACCCAGAACAAGCGTGCAATAAAACAGGTGTTGCAAGGAAGGCTCTTTTTCAAGGTAAGTGCAAAGGGGGAAAAAGGAACAAATATCCTTTCCGCCCACAGCTGTAGTTTTGTAAGAAGGGCGTTCTTTGGACCTGGCATTGCGTAGCAGCTGTGGAATTAAGTTGTTGCCACATCAGGTGTTGTCCAGGGAACCAATGGAGGGATCAGCTCCGGGATGGGGGGCAGGGCAGGTTGCAAGTTGGCATTTACCAGTTTTTGACCCACTCAAGCAGATGGGCAGAGCAACTCGGCTTCTCAACGGCTTTGGTTTAATGTCAGTTTCTGATTCCAGTTTAAGATGACAATCCCTAAAGAAAAGTCCCAAAGGTGCTTTTTTTTCCAAAAGGCACCTGGACTTTCTTGGGTTTTTTTTTTCCTCTTTGAAAATGTTTCACTTCTCATCCAAGGAGCTTCTTCAGTTCTGATGAACCTTGGGACAACCATGACCTGCATAATTAAGAATCTCCCTAGACTTTTCCTCCCCAAAGAAAAGAGCCTGCAAATTGCCCTGGATCATCATCAAATTTCTCCTGGATTTAGCGCGAAAGGCAAAGTTCCCACAAAAACCAGAAGTAGAAACTGCAGTTTAGTTTATTCTGATATTTTCACAGTGTGGCCTTTTTGTGTATAGACACACACATATTGGCACATCCATAAATAAACCCCTGGAAACATGGTGTGACATTAGCCCCTGGATTTACACACATGGGAATAGGTAGGATTTTAATGGCAATCTTAAAACGTATCTGAGCACCTTCATTATATCATGGCACAACGTAGTGTGGATAAACACCACTGAGAAATATAGAGATGAAGAGCAGAAATCAACAAAAGCCTCTGTCGATCTTCTTTAACCTGGTGTCCACCAGATATATTGGACTACACTTCCCATCATCCCTACAAATATTCTCTCCCCAACTAATCCTTAGACCATCCTTCCTTCTTGGTTTGTGTTAGGACAGTCTGAATGTGGACACGGGTGTTTCTCAACCATGTCAACTTTAAGATGGGTGGACTCCCAGGATTCCCCAGCCAGCATGCTTTAAGAGAGGCAGACTTCAATTCCTAGATGCATGCTATAAAAAGAACGGACTTCAACCCCAAAAACCTCCCAGATAGCTCAAGGAACATCCTCCACTAGGCAGCGGAGAAGGTGAAAAACCTTAGCACTTGCTGACAAGAAGGCCTTTTTGGCTGAGGAAGGGGACGGGCTACCCTGGCAAGAACAGACTGGCATTAAAAGCTGGCAATATCTATACAACCTGTGAGGCTCAAGAAAGCATTCTGGCTTGTGCAGACTCTTCTCACCAGGAAGCAGGCAGCCTAGGAGCTTCATACAGAATATTAAAAGCAAGATATTCTTTTGACATTTGATACCACTTGGAAATGAAAATTGAGCGAAAGGCATAGCCATGTTGAGAAATAAGATGCCAATTTGCTTACACAGCTGGATGCAGATCGGGTGCCTGGGAGGCTGTAAAGCAGTGGTTCTCAACCTGTGGGTCGGGACCCCATTTGGGATCGAACGATCATTTCACGGGGGTCGCCAAACCACGCTGTCCGCCATTTTTTTCCCTTTTCCCTAGCTGTCCTATTCCCTCTTATTGGTGGCCACACCCACTTGGGGGTCCCACAACATGGGGAACTGTATTATGGGGTCACGGCATTAGAAAGTTTGAGAACCACTGCTGTAAAGGGATGGGGGGAGGAGGAGGAGGAGGAGAGGTCTGGGGGAGGAGCACCTTCCCCAACAGTTCCCTCTTACTGGATCAGCACACAATTATCACAGCTGTTTCCCCCAGACAGAAAGCAGATCAAGGGAAATGAATGATAAACTGCCAGCTTCTCCTTTCCACCATGCCTTAAAAATATAGGGCGGAATCCAAATGCATATGTTCGTCAGACACACATTTTTCCCACAACAAGGAAGCAACGCTAGGCAGGAGAATGACTCATAATTCCAACCCACAGTGCCAGTTCTGCTGAAACTGAACAAGGGTGGTTGCGCAAGTCCCCTTCCACCCTCTGCCCCAGGGGGGGAATCATCTCCCTACCTGATGGTTTGCAAGGTCCCTGAATCTCAGGCCTAGGACCATGCAGTCTTTCAGAATGCCAAAGGCCTCCCAGGGCGTGAGGTCCGGCCCATCTGATAGGCCCAAAACCTGTCTGTCCTGCTCTTAGCCGAATCCCCTGTCCTTGAGGGGTGGGCCACGCTCAAAGGGGCTCTTGATAGATGGCCTTGTAGCGCAGATACTCTTCCAAACACTGGATGACGTAGTCGTCAACGCTGGGGTCGAACTTGTTGGCAAAGAGGTGGTGCTGTGAGAGTAGCCAGGGGAGGTCTCCAAATCCATACACGCAGACTGCCCGCCGGTAGGCTCCAGAACACTGGCTGTAAGGGGCTCCCTTGCTGATGTCCCCTTCGATGTAGGACCACTTTACCAGCCGGGCAATAGCGTTCATGTCTGTGAGGTCATATTTGTCATTGGAAGGGACTGAGCCTGGCACCTCCGGCATCCGATGCAAGGTGGCCCAGAGATGCTCATCCGGGCTGTACGTATCCTTGGACCACTCGATCAAGCGCCTGGCGGTCGGGTCCTCGAAGAGGTGCTGGACAAACTCCCTGGTGACCACGATGTAGGCATTGCCAGTGTGCATGGGAGACTTTTGGGGAGGGGGGCTCTTTGTCATCTTGGTCTGGACGATGCTATTGGTCACTTCGTGGTGGTATTTCCAGCGGTTCTTTTTATAGAATGAT